AATGCAATGAGCACACCTTGCCTTCCCCTTTGCTCAGTTACTGTCACAAGAGTTTCAGCTGTTCTTCCAGGCACTAAAAGTGCAAGCACCATGCCTGCACAACTAATCCCTGAGGACGGGCAGGCTCCTTTGTGGTCTCCTTCATCCGTAACGCACCAGTGGAGCAACACAGGGCTGTCCAACACAAGGGATTTAACAGCAAGGCAAAACAAAAGAGCAAAGGAAATGGGGCAGCTATACCTTTGTCAATTGCTCAAGAAGGAGACAGATGAAATGATGAAATTAAACATAAGCAGTTAATTCACAGAACAATCCTGCTTTGAGATTGTACTTCAACTTTTCTGAAAATGAACTCCTGGGGCCTAGTGCCGTCAAGGCTGGCAGCGATATTGGTTGGGCTCAGTCAGTGCAGCTGGTTGCCCCCACACTGACAGTTCGAGAGATGTTATCTACTCCAAGGAAAGGAAAAGAGATAGGCAGCTGCTATGTGGACGGCAAGCTGAGGTGGTTCAGAGCAAATCTATCAAGGCAGCAGAAATGGTGCTTCATGTACAGCCTCAGAGGGTGGTACTGCCTGGTGTTAAAAGGAGCAGCTCAAAACACTATCAAAAGCATCCAGTGAAATACAGTAAAAAAACCCCAAACAGTCCCCAAACTTTAAGATAAGGTAATTAATGCTCTTACACCACTCTGTTCCAAAAAATCTTCTGATTAAATCGTTTACTGATTAACAACAACAAACAAAAGGGTACAGGAGGAGATTATACTGTAATTTGAACAGTTCTGATGGGGTGGGGTAGGGAACAGGAGCCACGCAGCAGCTTGACAAGTCTACAAGTCTACTTGGGTGGTACACTAACAGCATCATTAGTGCCATGCTCTAGTGTCTGAGAAGACAGACTATCCTCCACTAAAGCCACTGGGTGTTACATGTTTGTGTCGTTCATAAAATGGGTTCTCTGGTGCATAGCTGCAAATTCTCTTTGGATTTGGTTAATAGTTTCTCTGCTGAACACATTCTGGGCAAAGGGATAAGCTCTGTGAGCACAGGGGAGGGAGCCTTACATAGGAAGAATGTAATGAAGAATACATTTTTTTAAGTTCATGCACTGGATTTTGAGCCAGGCTAAACTCTTACGTCTTCATTAGCTTCTGCTGAGCTTCAATGTTTACACAAGCTGGTGGCACTGTAATTTCAAACACTTCTTCAGTTGTTTCTGCTTATGGCAACAGCTTCAACAAAAGCATGCTGGAGATGAAGCATGTGGTCTGAAAAGGCATATTCTTTGCATACAGATGAGTCTTCACCTCACAAAAAAATTTAAGGGCCTGTGGTTAGGGTGCAAATATTGGAAGCATGACACTTCGAGGCAGTAGGACAGATGCCTATTATAAAGATTCCCTCTAAGGAAGCAAATCTGTATTTAAAGATGTTGATGAAATAAAGATCAAATTTGAGAGGTTAACATTTATGGAAAAAGGAATTTTTTCCTGTTCAGCTGGATATACCTCCAGCAGAAGTCAGACTAAGTTCATCAATTCATTTTCTACAGGATCCAAATCCTAGATATCACTTGAAGTCTTTAGTTTGGAAGACAATAAAGTTCTCCCATGTCTGGTGGCTTGCATCAATCCCAAATGCTTTGTAGTCAAGATGACAGCCAACATCTTCCTTCCACCAATAACCATCCTTCAGATGCAAACACAGAGCCTACATTTACCTCTCATCTTTATGGAAGGAAAAGACATACTCCTCCTTTTTCTGCCCTAGAACCAGAACAAGGATAAGCTATGGAGAATCCACCTTCCAGGGGTTAACCACAGAGGAGTGTATCTGACAAGATACTAAACACACTCAAGGCTATATTTTGGCAGAGAGGGACACACTCAGTCATGCTGGACTGCAACAAAGCATGAGTCAAGGCAGTTCAAGTTGCTAAGGGATCCTTGCTGGTTGCTATGGCACGTGGACTGCTATGAATGTTTAGTTCTGGTTTACTATTTTTCAAAGGATTGGCTTAGTTTGTATAATGTACTAATCTATCAGACACTAGAAATAAGCTTCACTTTTTCCACCAGCTCCTCCTCCTTTCTGAAATGGGTGACATTTATCTTTGTTGTCCAGTCTTGGACTGTCCCACACTTACCTTCTTGCTTGTTTTTCTGCTTCTACAGAGAAGAGGATTTAAAATGGTTGAGAGTAGCCCATGCATTAACCTATTTGTATTTGTTAAACTTATCACTTTTGTACAGCAAATACAGTCTTCTTGAGATGTGCAACTGTTTGCTATAAAAAGCAAATGCCCTAAAAAGTACAAAATTACATATGATCAGTGCAGTTTTGCTCATAGGTATTTTCAATAAAATGACTATACAGAGCACCAAACAGATTTTGTGGATTTCCCTGGAGTGGCATTGAATCCCACTTGAATGCAAGTGGGCTGTCTCCTACTAAAAGCTGTTATGTGTCTGAAGTACAAACAAACTCTGAAAAGCAACGGCCTCATGTGGCTCCTTGCTTACTGTGCTTCATTTCATTGTTTCCATGTTAAAATAGCTCAGTTCAGAAGCAAAATGATTACCTTTTTCAAAAACCCCCAAAAACTCATGGCACTCAAGCCTGAGCTCTTCCACGCCAGCGTGTTAACACACTGCACCTGTGCAACCTCACTGTGCACCTGCGCAACACCAGCGCTCGGCTGCGGCGCCCAGACCCGCTCAGCTTCTGGCTCTGGTGGCTTGCACAGCCTCAGTGACACACAAGGCAGACTAGGGACTGCTGAGCCCATCCTGTTGTCTCCAGCTCCGCAACGTTCTGCCTGGAGTCCCTCTCCTCTACCCAGCTGCCGATTTCTATGAAGTGTGTGAGAATCAAGTCACCTGGAAGCCCCTAGTTCTCTGTCAGCTGTTGCTGAGGTTGGCCAATGGCTGAAAGCTAGCAGCAAGAGGAGGACAAGCGAGGTGGGAGTCAGCTGCAACCCAAGCCCGACTTTCCTGCTCCTCAACCCTAAGCAAGCCACAGAGCACACACTGCAGCAGCCAGACCTGCCAGCTGAGGAAGCGCTGCTCAGCAGCCTTGCCACCACACAGCTCTTCGCCTGCTTCTCCTCGCACCCCGTCAGCAGCTCACCTGGTTGTGCCCAATGACCTCGAGCATAGCCCAAAAAACTCAGCCTCTTCCTGCCCTGATGCCTTGACGGCACTTCAGCAAGCAAATGTGGTCATACAACACAGGATTTTAAAACATAAATAAGATCACAGAAACTACCTGAAGCTACCAACAGCGATATGCAACCCTACACAAGACAGAAAGCCCGAATTATAGTTTCTGAACCTATGAAGTCATCTAATATACATGTGTTCCTCTATACTGCAAGGAGGAAAAAGACGACACGCAATACTTAATACCATCCTCATCAAGAGGAAAGAAAACCAGACTTTGGAAGCTTTCGGAAATTCATAATTTCAAAAAAAACCTGCAAAAAAGCAGAAAATCAGCTCCACTTCAGTTTAAAACAAACCCAAACAGCAGTACAAAATCATAAGCATTTTGCATTTATTTATAAAAATAACTTTTTTTTTTTTCCATTCCACAGTGCCATGCAGCACTGCAAACCTTCATATACTTTGTTTTTATTGATTTTCTGGATCAAAATTATTTAACATAAATTTGAAAAATACTTGATTATTTCTCCTAAATGCCGAAACTCAGGAATATGCTTCAGGTGAGGGAGGAAGATGGCACACTTACTGGCTCATCTGTCAGCAAAAATCACTACTTTAACCAGAAAACGATTCAAGAATAGAATTAGGCTTCTTCTTTCTTTTCTAGTACTGTACAACCTGTGAAAAATCAACAGCAGTAAAAAGGACTAACAGTCTACATAAGCGAAGGATATGGCTGCAACTGTAAATACCTAGAAGGGGGGAATTACTGAGAAAGGAAATGCCATTCTTACATAAATATTTTTTACACAGAGCTGCACTTCCTAATTCATTCTGGACAGTGCAAAGCTGGTAACAGAACACTTCATAATATATTTTTAAATCCTTTCTCCATAATTATATTTCAATTATATTTGGCTATAAATGATTTCAAATTTTACAATATTTGGCACTTCCGTGATAAAAAGCCCTCTTATTTGCTTGAGTCAAGACTTCAGAAAGCTTTATACAGAGCAGATTTTCTTAAATTAGCTTGAAAATTCAGTTTCCAGGGCAACATATGCAGGTCTTCATACATCAACATTTCTTTGCACCATTTTTATAAACGTGGTTGCTTGCTAGAATATAAAAAATATTTTTAAAACAAAGTATTTTGATCACTTTGATCCTTTTTTTTGAAAACAGCCGACTGTCCCTTCTTTTCAGAAGAATCATACCAATAAGACTGTCAAATTGTTTTACTTCAGAGAGGCTTTATCCCAGAAATGCCTGCAGTGACACCTAGGTATGCGATACATTTCCACCAGCACCTGAATGTTTCTGTAACATCTCAGTACACGTCCCTTATTCATTGCCCCTTTTCTTACTTTCTTTTCTGTTTGCAAGTAGGAGACATGACTTGGGGTCTATGGCATGCCAGCTCGTACATAAAACTAACCTGAATGCCTGTTTCACAGCAGTGTGAAATTTGCTGATGCCCACCTTGCACTTTGAGATCCTTCTCACACCTTCCAGCACAGACAAGTGGTATAGAAGAAATAAAGCTAACAACACATCTACCTATTTTCTCCTCCATTTTTAAAAGGTAGTGGGAAAAAAATCTCTTACGATGATTATAATTTTCCCTCTGTGAACACTTAAGAGGGTCTCTGCATCTCTGCAGTGACGTTACTGAAACGGGTACCTGAAGCCATCAGCAGCAGGGTGGATACCTTTCCTTCTTCAATTCTAACAGGGGCCAGATCAGATCCTTGCCACATGGCATTACAGTGGAGCAGGCAGCACGTGAAATAGTTACAACACTAGGATGGTCTTAGGAAAAGAAGACAGTTTACCTGCACATTTTACTCCCTGAGCAATGAGGCCCCACATGAAGTTGGCGCAGTATTCACACCAGTGCGGGCCTCTGAACGTGTGCACCTGGAAGACAGTAGCAGAAAGGAAAATTACAGAACACGGCCCAGTTATTTCACAGACATTACTATCAATGTGTCTAAACAAGGCAGGACTCCTCTTCTTCAAAGGCACCACATGCAGCCGCTGGAAGCTTCCCTCTATCACTGCAGAAAAGGCAGAAAGATATATAAGAAAGATTTAACTGCCAAGACTCTTGCAGACCCATGGGAAGCGGGAGCTCTCCATCCTAGAGCAGCAGAACCACATGGGGCAGAAGAGCAATGGCAGGTCCCAGCCCTTCTCCAAACTCCTCACATCCCTCTGTCTGGACATGGTTTTAGCCCTAAGGTGAGGCTTCTGCAGTGACCATGCAAGAGTTCTCTCAGTTGAAAATGTATTCTGCTTTGCCCTTCCCTCTATAAGGTACTTTGTGAAATGCGCAGGGCGCTGCAAGATTTCACCTCAAGCGGAGTGAATCCTGCCAGGCAAAAATACCAGTGCTACACAGAAATACTGCAAATGCACTTAGGGACTTCCTAGTTTAGAGTAACTCTAGAAGGAAATTCTCTTCAGACTAATGCTATAGATTGAAAATCCAAATGAATCTAGTGAATGGAGAAAAGAATCCACTGAACCAGAAAAAAAAAAATCAAAGCTAAAGAAGAAAACCCCCAGTGCTGCTTTCAATCCCAGCTCACATGTTTGTTACAAATCCTGCAGCCACCATTAGCTGCTTCAGATTTTATTCTGATAAAATTCATGCTGTAGGGAACTGCAGGATTCTTGATAGAGAAAATCATTACTTCCTTAGCCAACATAAAAAGGCTTCAAGCCTCTATTTAGAATAGACAGGCTGACAAAAACATCCACTAACTGATGATCATAAAGACATGAAATTTGCAGTGAAATGTACTAAAAAACTCTTTAGGTTCAAGTCACTTGGTTCTCCAGAGCAGGCAACAGGGCAGTAGCCTCATGGATGTTCACTGCTTGGTCAGATCAGTGTGCAGCAGAAGAGAGAAGCTGGTGGAAACACGTGTGCCTGACATCCACCCAGAGCTCTGGTTTTAAGTAGCAAAACATAGCCTGACAGAGGCGGCGGGCATCTCCTGTACCACTGATTTAAGTAGCAGCTGAATCGCTGGTGACTTACCTTGAACAGGTGACAACCCAGAGCAGCATCCAGCAATTCAGACCATGTTTCAGCTTTGGCCACTGGAAGGTCTGCAGCCTCCTGGGCATTTGATGCCCACAAAGCAGCAGTGAGATGGATTGCTGTGTCACTCTGGGAAGATACTCTTGAATTCACCAAGGAATTCATGTGCACATCTTTGCTAAGCTAGGCTTATAATCACCTCTAGCCCTATGCTGCTGAGTATCTCTGGAGGATATGTAATGGTGCTCCTGGTGCTGGCACAGCCTGCCTCACCCCAGTCATGCTGGCTGCCATCCACACCCGCTCCCACCTGCATTTTGTACGTGCCATGTGCTTCACGAGCCCACCTCTCCCTGCAGTTTCAGCTGACTTCTACAAAGCAGATGATGACAAGACTGTTGGCAGCTGTAATCTCCATTTTCTTTTTTTCCTCTGACCACAAAGAGATTTTTCACACCTTCTTCTCCATTACCCACCTGCACTACCCACATCCTCTTGGCTTTCTTCCTTAGCCTTGTGATTTTTTCCCAGGTCCTTGGCAGCGTTCCCTTCCCAGAATAAGCACGTTCTAACATACTCAAGCAAAATTAAGCATTACTGCCTGCAGGACGAACAGAACTTTTTCAGGGAAAAAAAAGCTTCCTGTTAGTCACCATCTTTTTTTTTTTTTTTTTTTTTGTCAAATGAGCGTTCTGCCCCCAAACCACTGATTTAAAATATTTCTCCCAATTACCATTGAGGGGAATTGAAACAAAAATGACAAGTTCAAAAATTTGAACAACAACAACAACAAAAAGTATCTTTCAGATACTTTTCAGTTTTAAAAGAGAGATTGTGGGTTTTTTTTTTAGTATTACTGAATATGAAAGAGGGGAAATTCTGTCTTGTTCCTTGAAATGCTGACATTTTAACTTTTTTCTTTTGGCAGAACAAGGACAAATTCTGACACATTAATATTTCTTGCTAAATAAAAAGAATTATACTATACTGTGCTTCTCCGCTTGCTGATTTCAATCCATCAAATTCACTGAACGTGCCATTTGCTGAAGCATTTCTCCTGCCTTCTCTCGGTGCTGGGGTCCTAACCTGGCCTCTCCAGGGCCATCTGCAGTGCTGATACTCAGCAGATCTCAGGTGCACAATGTCTAACTGGCTGTTGTTTTAGCAGTGCACACACCTTTTTCTTAGCATTTCGCTCTCCACTATGGTCTGCACGTTTCCACCTTCTCCTCTCCCTAAGAACTCTTCTGCAGGGTCTACCATATCCCAAATCTGCCACTCCAACATTTTGCTTCTCTTTATTTTTGTTTTATTTTTAGGATTTGGTTTTATGTGCACTATTCCTCTCATGTTTCTCATAACTATTATCCACCTACACTGAAAAAAAAATAATCCTTTTCTACCACAGCCAGTTCCACCGACATTATCCTGGCTCTCGGTTCGCCCCTCAGAGAAGTTCACATGACTCATTGTCAACCTAAAAATGACAAGGACAAAACTGACTTTCCTCTTCCCTTCCAACACTGCATGTACTGTTCACCCTTCACAAGACCAACACTGACTGACTGACTGACTTTGCCCTTCAGGATCATCGTCTCAGCATCATTAGCGCTGTTCTCTCATCCCATGCATCCAGGCTTCATCCAAACACTGAAATGCCTTCCCATATCATCAGTTAAGAAATTAACTTCTCTGTTAGAAGATTTATCCAGAGCCTGCTCAGCTTTACACTGCCCCATCCAAATTACTCTTTCTTAGCCATTATTCCGATTGCAAGCTCAAAACAAATTAAAAGGTGAGGTTTTTCTATGCTCCAGAACGCTCTGTCTTGCTTCATCCTTTATCTGATATGCAATAGGGAGGTCCTCTGGCAATATTAATTAGGATGCCCAAAGGCCATACTGTCCTGTCCCCAGTGCACACAACTTCAGATCTGAAGCCTCTTCTGGGCCTTCCAAGTGGTGCTGGGCCAAATCTTCCTACCACAGAGTGGAACAGAATGTCTAAACCCTATGCTGGACTGAATACACACCAGCTCTGGAAATTAAATCAGACAGTTAAGTGATGCCAGAGAATAGTGAAAAATTTGTGTTCTGAGGTCAGAACAGCTTCTAATCCTGCTTCATCCTGCAGAGTGGGGCCTGGCAGCATGCTAAAAGGAAACGTTTGCATCTCCTCGCTAGATCAAGAGTCAGCACCTGCAAACAGTACTGCATTTATTATAGGACAACATTTAATATAGTACTCCGATTTTTATATTTAATTCCCCTTTCTAAAAATCTGTCAAGTGACTTGCTTGTTTGCAAAACTAAAACATGCTTTCCAGAAACATTTCTGAACACACATCCAAAAAGTCCCAGAGATCCTGACATAAATTACAAGGAGTTAGTTTCCCCTTATAAAAACAGTATCTGCCATATGCAGATTTTACCGTCTTATAAAATGTGAGGGAGCAGGATTGCCAACTGTAGCTTTACATCTCCCAACCCTTCCACTCTCACTCCCACCCCAAAAATCTTCTTCTCTCTCTTTCCATCAAGCTTCGACTCCAAATGATTTTTTAAGAATGTGTAAAATGGGTGAGCGGGAGAGCAAGATAAACTAGTTTTAATCTTAATTACTGAAATTCCAGGGGAAATATTCAATTTAAAAGAAATATGTAGATAACTATAAAGAAAAATATCGGCTTTAAAACTAGATAAAATCCTATTACTAAAGCTGTCCTGCAAGTCTGAAGTAAGAGGAGAGTTTCATGTTGGGCTTACATCTAGGCATTTCTGTTGTGAACTCTCCCACATCATCAGCAAGGTATAATAAACATTTAACTACTCTGATCTTACGTAGGAGGACAGTTTTTTTGCTTAGGCTTGAAAGGCGTTTTCTTACACACAAACATCTTAGTTCCTGTGATTAACAATGGTGACACAGAATTTAATTTACTTTTATTTTACGTTTAATTTAAATATTTCTTGGAAAAAGAGACCAAGTTTTAGGAGAACCAAATGCAAAATTATCCAGTAGGTCTGGCAACAGACTATACCACAAGCTGTGAACTCCTCAAGCAGATCTCTAACCATTACTTCTCAGGCTCTATAAAGGTCACTGTTGAAGTTAGTTACCCATGTATGTCATAACTCCACTTATTTTTTATGCTTTTGGTTTTTACTAAAAAAGGCAGTTGTTCAGCTAGCATTGATTGCTATCTGAAAACCAAGAATGAGCCAGCACATAATTAGTATTCATAACTGGGAGACTTGCATTACACCATTTGTCAAGGCAGGGAGGAAGAGAATGAGGAAGTATCAGCAAAATTCTGTGCAAACATGATGTGAAAGAACGCGACAGATCGTCAGAGCTTTAGCAAAGCCACTCCTGGGAAGAAAGCAAGGCTCTATTTGACAAACCGTGGATCTGTAAAATCAACACCAAATACAGGAAACAAAAGCCTTTGTGACAGTGTGCAAAAACGCCTTTCCTGTTGAGTGGCTGCTGCCATGGTCTCCCCACACCACTCCATAAACACCCTCGCTCTGTACAGAGCAGAGTAACTTCTCCCATGGCCCTCCACACCAAACTGCTGGTGAGAATCATGGGGTTTGGAAGATCCATGTGCTACCATGTGTGTTGGGATGAAACACACCACCTTGAAAAAGGACGGAAAAACCACTGCTCCTCTACCCTCTTGGGCTACCAGAGTCCTGTACTCTGGGCAGAAGCCTTGTTGGTGCTCAAGGAGGAGACTAAGCTGACTGGGGATTGAATAAATGGCACGCATCCGGCATTTGTACTGCGTGGTGCTCCAAAGGTACAGTCCTACTGGCTATATTGTCTTTCAAACAAATTCCCAAGGATGACAAGACACTGCTGA